GTTGGTTCCAGGCTCCAGCAGGGAGAACGGTTGGTGACTCAGCGCAGCTTCGGGGCAGACGGTGCAGTTGCGCGGATGTGTCGCGCCTCTCACTTCGGTGCCATCAGGGCGCAGGAGTGCGCCGGGCGCAAACACGCCGGCCTCGATGCAGTTCTTCAGCGTTGCGCGCAAGGGGTGACCGAGGCGTTGGTGCCAGATGGCATCGTCGGCGCGGAATCCAGAGGTGCGCATGTAGCGCGCGTGCGCGTCTGCGGGATCTTCGTCAGGTGCTTGGGCAGGTTCCGCCGCTGCTTCTTCGGCTTCTTCTTCTTCGTTCGCCGTGGTCAACATTAGCGCAAGAAATTCCCGGTCGAGAATATTGGAGAGGGGAATATTAGTTCCAGGAATGGTTCCGGGGAAGAAGGTTGGCTCACGTGGCTCGGGGGCAGGTCCGTAGACCGTGCGTCGCGGAGTGGAGGGCTCATTGCCCCAGTCGATGGTGTCCCAGGGGTCACTCCCTGGCTGGATGTCAGGTGGGGGTAGTGTAGGAGCAACGCGGCGCGGAGGGCGACCAAGAGGAACAACTGGAAGTTCTGCCTCGATTTCCTCTTCTTCCCCCCTTTGGTCCTCGCGGGAAGCCCCCCAGCCTTCGCCGGAAGTGCCCCATCCGCTTGTCTCTCCGCCAGATGCGGTGCCCCATCCGTCGGTGTTGTCGCCAGTTGCAGCTCCCCATCCGCCGGTGTTGCCGCCAGTTGCGGCTCCCCATCCGCCGGTGTCGCTTGTGCCCCATCCGCCAACACTTCCCCACCCCCCTTCATTGGAGGCGCTCTCATCTTCGCCCCATCCGCTCCAGGCGAATGTGCCGCGCGACTCCGCAAGGCTCCGTTGGCGAAGCTCTTCCGCTTCGCGACGCGCCAGTTCCTCCTCTTGCGCCACGGTAAGCTTCTTCGTAGAGTCGCGCTGATGAGCGTAGATCTCCAAAATTTTCTCCTATGTGTAGGGCCGCGGGACTCCGTGCGCATCGAAGGTGCCGACGCCGGTGCCGTGCAGCATGCCCCGAAGACGTTGTGATGCAGGTCTGGGGAGAGGAGTTTCCTCCGTGCCGAAGACGACGCGCGTGGCAGTTTCAAGCTCCAGGGTTGACAGTCCCTCTTCAGGCGGTGCTTCCCGCTCTGCTTCGTCGATGGCGGCAAGGCCACGCCCGGCAATCGCGCTCGTTGAGGCTGTGGGCGTATGGCAATCTCTGCAGATGCCGTCGGGGTCGGGGTCGTGCAGCGCCAACTCGCGCGGATGAGGGTGGTGTGGCACCCATTGTCTTCCGTCTGGGTGTTTCCAGTCGCAGTGGTGAATGTGTTCGAAGCGGAGGGGGACGAGGTCGATGAGCTCCTGCAAATCACCGCTGCAGTCGGGAATGCTGAAATCGAGGATGTAAACTCCGTTTTCGGAGTGCGCTCGCCCGATCTGCTTGCGTGTCCTGTTCGGCATCGTGTAGTGAAGTAGGATGTCACGTGTCTCGGGATCGGTGCTGAGGTCCACTCCGCAATCCATGAGTTGCGCCGCCGAGAGGAGATTGAAGCGTAGATTCTGCACGATCAGCACGTCGTTCAGTGTGATGTGCGTCCTGCTCCCTCGGGCCTTGAGCACCACGATGCCTTGCGCGCTTGCGCGCAGGCGTGTGTTGTTCGCCACGGTGACGTAGGTGACGGCGGGGGTGGAGACGGCGTTGGATATGTAACGCTCGGAACCCACCATATGCTGCCCGCAGCAGCTATCCAGGTACCACGTGTTGTAGCGCATGTTGTCGTTACGTGCGAGCAGTGCCAGTCGCGGAGTAACGATGTGCGGTGTGTCAAACTTGAGAAATTGCTCGCGCGAGATCCAATCGATCAGATCCGCCCGCATATCAGGTACGTGCGGGGGACTCTCAAGCAGCGGGACTGGGAGATTCCAGTCCTGTTCGTCGTCGTCGGTGAAATCGTGGCGCGTGCTGAACGGATTGTTGTTCGAGAACGCTCCGATCGGCTGGCGTGCTGGCTCAGGTGATGGTGACCGCGCACGGGGACGACGTGATCCGCTCGTCATTGTCATGTTGCCCATGACATTGCGGACGGGAGCAGTCTGCGGCTGCTGCTGCTGCTGATGCTGGATCGCTGGGTTCAGGTTGCGCGGTGGGGGTTGATGCCCCTGGGCTGGACGCATGTCGTTCCGTGCGTCTTGTCGGCCGGACCAGTTGCTCGGATTGGTCTGACGAGGGCGAGATCGGAATTTGCATCGATCTGCCAGGTGCCCGAAATTTCTGCAAATCTTGCAGTAAAGGCGCCGCGGCCGTCGCTCCTCCGTGTTGTCGGCGTAGAAGGCGAGGCATTCCCGGTCTCGTCGCGGCGCTGGTCGCTGCTGATCCATACCCCTTTGTTCGACGAGAAGGGCGGCGCATAGGGCGGCCTCCGAGATGACCCCCTGCTGTCGGAGAAGCGCCTTGCAGGGCCGCCACTCTAGGCCGAGCCCTTGAAGCACGATGTTCACGAAAATCTCCTCTGAGATCGTGCTTCCAAGTTTCGCGATTTGATCGCGTAAGCTCCGACAGCGATTGATGTAGCTGTTGACCTTCTCCCCTAAGGCCATCTTCGTCTCCAGTATCTGCTGGAGCAGGCGGCTCGATGAAACCGAATCTTTCGGTTGGTACACGTCGTTTAGATGGCGCCAAGCATCGAGGGCTGGAGCAGGAGTCGTCTTGTAAGAGCGAATGGTCAACTGCTCCGCCGGCGACTTATTCCGCAGGAGGACGCCGTACGCCATCAACGACTCGTTGTAGTACTGTGCCCGGGCGTCAGCCGTGTCCTCCGCGGGTTCCGAGTAACTCCCGTCGAAGTAATGAAATATCTGCGCGTTTTGCAGCAGCAGTTCCAGCTCAAAGCTCCACGTATAGAAGTCTCTGCCGTCAAAACACACACTTGTCTTTATTTTTTATATGCTCAAAAACCTTGATTGCGCAGAGAGAATTGCTTCTTCGCTGGGACGGGGAGTCTTGGGTGTTGAGCCATTTGTGTCGAGGGAGAAGGTATGCGGGGCGGTATTTTGGTCGTTTGAGGCCGGTTGAGTGGGTTGGGAAGATGTTCCCGCATCGCCATTCCGCAATGTTTGGAGTTGTTGCTCCAGGCTGGTGAGTCGCTGAAGCATCTGTGCGAGGGCGGCGGTTCCAATCGCTTGTCGCAGCCGGGTTGGTCTGCGCTTCAGCCGTCAGATTCGTCTGACCACCAGATCCTCCGGCCATTCTCACACGCGAGCGTGTGCCGGACGCCACTTTCCGTTCACCGAAGATTTCGGAGGTGGCGGTGCGAAGGATTCCTGAGTCGCTCTCATACCATGTTGCGATCAGAAGTTGATCGTGCCTAGGATCACCTCTGGAAGGTTCGCACACGTCTGAGTAGTGGTGGTGGGCCCTTGACCTCAATAGCACAGTGGACGTAAAATGCTTGAGATGATTAAAACATGCAAATAAAAGGTATAAATAAGAGTACAGGAAGGAATACGAATCAACCTAGCTAGCCATGTACTCTAAGGGGTACATTCCCTTATTGCAGCGAAATCCAACCGTGCGATTCCAGACGGTTACAAACGGCCTGGGCAGAATCCTCGCCACTGCTGCTGCCTGATGTTGTCTGCCCGACGGTCCAGATCCCTTCGTAACCGTACGACCCTTCGCTTCACTTCCGCCTGTTCGTGTTCAGCCTCGGTAGTACATGCTTCGATTGCTGCGGTAGAGTGCACAGTGATGCTTCATTAATCACTATTCGTAACAAATGCAGTTCGCGGGCAGGTCGAGCAGCGCGCGGGCAGCAAATGCAGCGCGCGAGCAGCAGGGGCAGCGCGCGAGCAGCAGGCGCAGCGTGCAGGCAGGGCGCCCAGCGAGCACGGGCAGCGCGCTTGCAGGCAATGCGAGCAGGGCAGCGCGACGCGCTAAGGCAAGCAGCGCGTGCAGCAGGCAGCGCGCTAGGGCAGGCAGAGCGCGTGGCAGCAGGGCAGCGCGACTCTCTTCAGGCAGGGCAGGACAGCGCAAGGGCGCTACGGGCAGGAACAAGCGGAACTAACGGTGGGCCCTAAAAAAAACGGTCCTAACCGGGACTTGCTCTGATACCATGTCAAGAATGAATGTGTGGATTGATTAGGGTTGTGAGTACAAGTAGGAAACCCTAAGGGGTTGTACTCACTAAAGTATGCCTCACTACAGCCTAGAGCATACAATTACAATTTGACAGGGGGCGCGCTAGGGGCAACCGGGAGAGGGCGTCAATAGGATAGCTAGGGTAGGCGAAGTGGAAGTAGCGACCTAACATAATCTTATACAATGCCAAAGAAGGAACGAATCACTAGAATGAGGGCATACTGTTGTGATATGTATCAAACCTGTTCCTTCTCGAGAGTAACCCAACCTATCCTATAATGTGCACATGCAAAAAGTGTATGTGCAAATGTACACTTTAACCATTTGCAAAATGGTTATGTGCCCTTAGTTTATACTGCTTATTAGTGCTACCAATTTCCTTACATGCCAGGAAAGGCATTTGTAACACATGCATTCAGTAGTCCCTTCACCCACCAACTCTTCACCCGTCCAGCCTCATCCACTCGCGTCCTAAGTTGTAGCTTTCATCATCGCCTGCACCTAAAATCCCGCGTTTGCTGACCACAAGCCATTTCCTGCTCTAAATCTAATGGCGGAACAGATGGAAACAGACGAGGATGTATCACAGCCGTTGATTCCAGGCCTACTAGACGATCTAGCCATCATGTGCCTCATCCGCGTGCCGCGTGCCTACCACAGAGTAACCATCTGTAACCTCGTCAAAACGCAAATCTCTTAGTCTCGCTCTTGTCGCTGTTGTATCCATGTAACTCGCAAATGATATGGGCACCGGCCGACTGCTTCCGCGCCCACTCTGGACCCCTTCCCTCTCTCCACAACCTTTCTCCGCTCTCCCTCCCACCCCCCCCCCTCCCCGCGTCTTCCCCGTGGCCGCAAGGCTCTCCGCCTGGTGTGCCGCCCGTGGGCGCAGCTGCTGGACTCGGGGGAACTGTGCCGGCGGCGGCGGCAGTGCGGCGTGGCGGAGGCGTGGGTGTACGTGCGCACGCGCGACGGCGCTTACCGCAACTACTGGCGCGCGTTCGACACCACCACGCGCACGTGGCACGCGTTGCCGCCCCTCCCGCCGCTGCTGCTGCCGGGGGAGAGCGCGAGCGCCACAGAGAACGCCATGCAGGTGCGCGCACGGAGGGGCGGAGGGCAATGGGGGGCAGGGGAAGAAGCAGGGCAATGGGGACAGGAACGTGGGGGAGAAGTGCAATGGGGGAGCACGGAGTTGCTCGGTTGGGCTGGGGTGGGAGTGGGAGGTTTTCCACACACAGCACAGCCCCTCCTCTTCTTCCACCCACCCCTCCCCTCGCCCCCGCCGTTGTCTGTACACACCGCTAATTCCGCTACTACAAGAGCCCGCTCCCCTTTCCACTTGCGGCGGCGCTCCCGCACACCCGTTCCCTTGCTGCACCGCTGCGATGCCGTGAGCGTATCAACGCCAACCAGGTCTCGTCAATACATGCTCTCTGTGCCCCCCGTTGCCACTTTGAAAACCCTTTTTAAGCATCCCCTTGTGTTCCTGCCCTTGCCACTTGGTCCTGCTCTGTCCCCTTCTCCCCCTACACGCCCCCTTTGCCTTGTCTCTTGCATCGCCCCCACGCCAGGTGCGAGGGCTGGGGTCAGCAGCAGTGGGCGGCAAGCTGTACGTGTTTGGCGGGTGGCGCGAGGGCGGGCCGGCGCTGCAGTGCACGTGGTGCTACGACCCCTGCACGCACCGCTGGCAGCGCCACGCTGACATGGGCATGGCACGCTGCTACATGGCGTCCGGCACCCTGCCCCGCGCCCAGTGCGCTGATGGGGCGGATGGGACAGGACAGGGCGAGGGAGGAACGGGAGGAGGGGGAGAGGGGGAAGGAGGAAGATGTGCAGAAGGAGGAGAAGGTATCTCTTCTCAAGCTGACGTGGATAATACAGCCACCACCCCCAGAAGAAAAAACAGACACAGCACAACCATTGCTACCAGCGACTGCGGCGAGGACGGTGTGATCCTCGTGGCGGGCGGCATGGTTCGTCCGCGCCTGCACCCGAGTGAGCTGCTGGTGGCAGCGGAGCAGTACGACGTGGAGCGCGACCAGTGGGTGGCGCTGCCGCCCATGCCGCAGCCCATGCTGTTCTCCTCGGGTGTCACCCTTGCAGGCCGCTTCCTCGTGAGCGGCAACTTCACTGATGAGGGGCAGGTGAGTTGATGGGGGAGAGACGAGGACGGGGTCAGCAGCTGCTGCTCTATATGCTCCAGCATGCTCCAGCATGCCGCCACTGCTCATTCTCATTGTTGCCTTTGCAAACACCTGATGGCTTGTCCTCCCGCCTACCCCCCTCTTGCCCGCCTTTCGTGTGTCAGTGGGGGGCGGTGTACTGCCCGCGTGCGCGGCAATGGCAGCCCATAGCGCATCGGTCGCTGGCGACGTCGCTGCTGTCCCCGTGTGCAGCGCTGGGCGACCTGCTCTTCTGCATCAAGGACGCCCTCCAGGTGCGCTCCCCTCACCACCCTCAGCATGCGCGACAGGCGGCCCTGTGGGTCAGGAGGTGGGCATGGGTGGGGCGTGGGAAGTAGGTGACATGAGTGGACTCATGTGTGCAGCCACGAATGGTATGCCTGCGGACTCTTATAATTGGTGCTCACCCACAGTGCCTTTTTCAGTTGTTGCCCTTGTTGCTTCCTCCTCTGCAGCTGCTGCTGTTTGGAACGGTAAAAAAACTGATTTTGTCCACTGTTCACCCTTCGAGGCTGTTTGTTGTTTGTCCTTTCCCATGGCGCATCTGTCTTGCCACTCTTCTTCGTTTCCCTCAGTACCCCGCGTATTTCTCGTTGTCCCGCTCTCTCCGTGTCTCCACTTCATGCCGCCAAACCGCCTTACCTGCCTTAACTGAACCCATCACCTCTCCTCCGCGCACCCTCTCCTCCGCGCACCCTCTCCCCGTGCGGGGCGGCCAGGTGTGGAACCCGTGGCGGGGCGACTGGGAGCTGGTGGAGGGCGAGGGGCGCATATTCACGGACACGCGCTTCCCCTGCTGGGTGTGCTGCATGGCGTTCGTGGGGCGGCGCCTCTTCCTCGTGCACCAGAACTCCTCCATCACCTCCGTCACACTCCACCTGCACTACCCCTCTCCCTCTGCCACTGCTCCTGCTGCTGTGCCGCCCACTGCTGCCCTTCCTCCCACTCCAACTCGCCCTGGGTCGGCGATTAGTCCTGATGCGCTGAATGCTGCTTCGCCCCCCCCTGCTGCAGCTGCTTCGGGTGCTATGGGGGTGTCTGTGGCAGCTGGAGTGATGGGTGCGCACCGCACGGAAGCAGGAGGTGCCGTTGAGGCTGAGGCACAAGCACGTGCTACTGCTTCTGGTGCTGCTGCCACTTCTGGTGCTGTCAATGCTGGTGAAGGGAGGGAGGAAGACGAGAGAGCAATGGCAGTGGCAGAGAGGGAGGCAGCAGCAGAGAGGGCAATGAGGGAGGTAGCGGAGGCGGTGGCAGCAGCAGAGGCGGTGGGCGTGCCGTCCGCAGTGGCCCCTGCAGCGGGGCACGTGGCGGGGCAGATCTCCCATGCCATGGCGGCTGGTGCGCGCGCATGGCACCAAGGGAGGGACGCGGCCCCAGAGGGTGTGGGGGAGGCAGTGCTAGAAGTGGGATCAGAGGCAAGGGACGTGCTTGTGAGTCCTGCCAGTCGTGGCGCTGAGGAATGGAGGAGGGTACGGCGTGGGGGAGAGGGGAGCACACCTGTGGCAGGGCAAGCAAGTGAGGGTGCGAGGGGGGGTGGTGATGGGTGGAATGGGGGGTGGTGGGGAGAGAAGCCATGGCGTTCGGGGGGAAGCGGAAAGGGGAAGTTGCAACAGGTGGAGGTGAGAGTGGAGGAGGTGGTGAGAGTGAGTGAGGGAGTGGCAGCAGATGATGAACAGGCCATCGACTGTTACGTCCTTGAGGCGTAGCGAACACTCACATGAGGATCTTGCAATGCAAGGGAAGACGCATAGGTATGGTGCTGCTGTGCACGGGCCGTGCAGGGCTGGTGAGGAACAGTGGTAACCGGAGGGACTGATGTGCTGCTGTCTGCTGCATGGGACGCACAAGGTGGGAGGAAGCTTTCAAACACAGTACACATGGTACGGTAGTAGCCACAAGTTTACGATCATAACGTTTAGTCGATGCACTACCACCACCACTAGTATGGTTAGATTTGAAGGGTAAACTGCCCTGATTACTCTGTCTATGGGCCACTTTTTAGAGAATACTGTACCTTGGTTTTGTAGGTGGTTTTTTTGTACCCCCTTTCTCCAAAGCAGGCCCCAACCAAACTATCCAGTTTCGCTCTGGCATTCTTCGCGGATTCTGCATCGAGAAGGGCATCACCCAGTCCTGGACGCTTCCGGGGCCCATACAGCAGAATGGGGTTGCTGAGCGCCACATAGGCTTGGTCATGGAGATCGCCCGCACCTCCATGATCCATGCACGTGCGCCCCATTTTCTGTGGCCCTACGCGGATCGCTACGCCGCCCACCAGCTGAACCTCTAGCCTCGTGTCTCCCGGCCAAGGGCTTCGCCGACCAGTCTTTGGACCAGTTCCCCTAATGTTGCATCGGAGTTTCGAGCCTGGGGCTGCCTTGCGCTTGTTCGCAACACCTCTGCGGACAAGCTCTTGGCTCGTGCCCTCCCTGTGTCTTCCTTGGTTTCTCGGTGGACGCCCCTAACTTCACGTTTTACCACCCGCCCCTCCACCGGTTTCTCGACTCCCGTGACGTCACCTTTGACGAGTATGTGTCCTACTACGCCCGCTACCCCTGTCGAGTTCTCCCGGTTCCCCCCCCCTCCCCTTTTCCTCGCCCCCGCTCCTCCTCTTGCTCCCGCTCCTCCGGTACACCCGCCCCCCCCTGGTCCTCCCCCGTCAACTGTGTCCCACGCTACCCTCTCCCTTCGGTAGCACGTCCGGTCCCACCTCCTTCCCCACATTCGTCCTCTTAGTCACCGCAGCAGCCGCCAACACTACCGCGACACGTTGCAGTGGAGTCTGTTGGAATAAGCAGGAATGAATGTGTTGAAAGTAGCGAGAGGAATAAGGGGTTCAATAAAGAAAGAAGGTACAAGGATATAGGCAAAGCAAGCAAGGTGCACCACCAAACAAGATCAGCACTACACTAAGTCTACACTACAGGCAGTTACAATATAATGCATACAATTATATTTTGACACACCCCCTAACTGCCTGCAGTGAAGAACCAATTGCAGAAACACCCCCTGAAGAGGTACACCACGCGCAGCGGAATAAACAGAGTGTTAAGTGAGGAGGAGGAGGCGGGAGAGAGAGATGAGGAGAGGAGGTGGGGGGAGCCACGCGGCGAACCCTGCTTACGAACCCCCGATTTACCAAGGAGGAGCTGAGAGAGAGAGATGAGGAGAGGAGGTGGGGGGGAGCCACGCGGCGAACCCCTCTTACGAACCCCCCATTTACAAAGGGGGAGGTGAGAGAGGGAGGAGAGGAGGTGGGGGGAGCCAAGCGCGGCGAGCCCCTCTTACGAACCCCCAAGTCCACACCCTCTTTCAGCCACCCCCCTAAACCTCACCCCCCTTGTTTAGCTGCCACCCTGAACCGCACCCCTTCCGCCACCCCCTCACCCTCCCTCCCACAGCGGCACGTGCGGCAGTGAGAGCAGGCCCCTAGATTCGTTTTGAGGTAGTCTGACGCCTCAGAGTGTCAAACATATATCTATGATATAGATTTGGGTAGGCTGTAGTGGGGTACATACTGTGGGGTACAACCCCTTAGGCTTTTCCTTCTTGTATCATTCTCACCTTAGTGAAACACATCCTTGCCTTAGTCTCGACATGGTATCTAGAGCAGGAGGTCTCTAGGACCTAAGAATAGGGCCCACCCGTAACTGTGTTTCCTCACCTACTGCCTGCCTGCCTTGCCTGCTGCCCGCGCGCGCCTCGGCTGCTCGCGCGCGCGCGCCGCTTTTTTTTTTTTCGCGCGCGCCTCGGCTGCTCGCGCGCGCGTCATTTTTTTCGCGCGCGCTACTACTGCAGCGCCGCGCGCCGGCCCGCGTCGCCCGTGCAGCCCGCGTCGAGCCCGCGCAGCCCACCGCCGCGCGCAGCCCGCCGTCGCGTGCAGCCCGCCGTCGCCCCGCGCGCCGCGTCTGTCGCCAGCGCGGCCCGCCACTGCGCCGCGCGCCGCGTCCGCCGCCCGCGCGTCGCGTCGGCCGCCTGTGCGGCCCGCTGCTGCCTAGCGCGCTGCTTTAGGAGCTCGCGTGCGGCCGCTACTGCCTGCTGCCTGCTGCCTCCTGCCTGCTGCCTGCAGCCTCTGTCTTTGCTTACAGCCTGGTGCCTGCTGCCTCTTGTCTGCTGCCTGCTGCCTACTGCCTTTGCCTGCTGCCATTATGACGACGCCTAACGTTCTCGCGTTCGAGCCTGACGGTCGCCCCATAGAGTTCGCTGTGTGGTTAGACGACCTCCAACTGTTCCTTCTGACCGATGCCAAAGAGGGCGTTTCACTGTTCGATTACGTGTCTGGCACTGCCGTTGCTCCTGCTGCCGATGCTCCTGCTCTCGAACGCTCGCAGTGGCAGACTCGCGATGCTGCTGCACGCCTAGCTATTAGGAACCATCTGCCGATTACTGAGCGCGTGCATTTCAGCCAGCACAAAACTGCTAAGACGCTGTACGACGCTGTAGTTACGCGCTACTCCTCCCCGGCCACTGCAGCCATAGGTCGGCTCATGCTACCCTACCTGTTCCCCGACCTTTCCTCGTTCACCACTGCTGAGGACCTCATTTCCCACCTGCGCGCCACTGACACTCGCTTTCGTGCCGCCCTTTCAGCCGAGTTCTGCGCCGCAACCCCCCCCCCCCCCCCCCCGATGTACTTCACTCTCTACTTCCTCGTCACCCGCCTCCCTGACACTCTTAGCTCCGTCAGGGACCACTTCCTAGCACTAGACCCCCCCACGTTCACTCTCGACGACTTCGAGAAGCACCTCCTAGCAGCAGAGAAGAACATCCTCGCTGTAGGTGCTGCTCGTGGCACTCCGCGCTCTCCCCTCTTTGAGGGGTGCTCCCCCTCCCCTCTCACCCCCTCCTACGCCTCCGCAGCTGCTGCTCACGACTACCTTGGTGCTGAGGAGGTCGGGGCTGCTTCCGCTCCTAGTGGGAAGCGTCGCAGCGGCAGGGGCGGAAAGGGTGGCAGGGGAGGTGGGGGTGGCGGTGGAGGTGGCGGTGGTGCAGGCGGCGGGGGAGGTGGAGGTGGTGGGGGTGGTCGTGGGGGTGGAGGTGGTGGTGGTGGTGGTGGGGGCGGTGGGGGCACTGGGAGCGGTGGGGGTGGCAGCGGCAGCAGTGGGGGAGGGGGGAGCGGTGGTGGCAGTGGTGGTCCGGGCCAGCAGCAGTCGCAGCAGCAGCAGCAGCAGCAGCAGCAGCGTCAGCGCCAGACCCCCACTTCCCAGCAGCTTCTTGACTGGTATGCCGGGCGTGGGGCTTCTGGGGGTCCTGGTCGCTGCCCCTATATCATTCGCACAGGTCCCCGCGCTGGTCGCCAGTGCACAGGGTTTCACACTGAGCAGCGCTACTTCGCTCGGCTTAGCGACGCCTGGCGCGCCAAGTTTCCTGATGCTACTGAGTTCCCCAACTGGGCAGACTTGCTTAGGCGTGATGTACCTATCTTTGATCTTGACTATGAGGCAATTCTTGCTGCTATGTATGCATTGACTGTTAGTGCTGAGGGTGACTGCTACTTGTGTGTGCCGCCGGATCCCGGTATAGACTCTGGTATAGCCCCTGCAGCACTAGGTGCTTGTGAGTCTGCCCCCCCTGGTACTGCGCCTGCACAGGCCTTGCACACCTTTACACTTGACTCTGGTGCTTCCCGCTGTTTCTTTCGCGACAGTACCACAGTCACTCCCCTCCCTGCACCTGTTCCGGTCTCACTGGCTGACCCCTCTGGGGGCCCGGTGCTTGCACGGTCTTCCACTGTGTTTCCGTGTCTGGCGGTCCCGTCTGGTGAGCTGTCTGGTCTCCACCTCCCCTCGTTCTCTACGAACTTGGTGAGCAACGCTGTCCTCCAGGATGCGGGGGTTGACACCTTCACCCCTGGCCGGCAGCGTGTGGCGATCTGCACGTGTTCTCGGACCGGCCGCCACCTGGCCACGTTCACCCGTGCGCCAGGGTCCAGTCTGTACACCCTCACCACTGCGTCACGCTCCGCCCCTTTGTCTCCCCAGCTGCACGCGTCTACTCAGGTAGCTACCCTGTGTGAGTGTCGCCAGCTGTCGCACGACACTCTCCTGTGGCACCACCGCCTTGGTCACCCCTCCCTGCCTCGCCTTCGTAGCATGCACTCTCGCTTCCTTGTCTCTGGTCTTCCCAGGTCTCTGCCTGCCCTCCCTCCCTCGCCTGCGCCGCCCTGCATTCCTTGCGTCGAGGGGCGGCAGCGCGCCGCTCCTCACTCCTCCTCGTTCCCTCCCACAGAGGCTCCACTGCAGACTCTCCACCTGGACGTGTGGGGCCCAGCCCGCGTCCGTGGACAGGGCCACGAGCGGTACTTCCTGCTGGTCGTCGACGACTACACGCGTTACACCACGGTCTTCCCCTTGCAGCGCAAGGGGGAGGTCCCTGATGTTTTGATCCCCTGGATCCGCGCTGCTCGTCTCCAGCTCCGCGAGCGGTTCCAGTCGGACTTTCCTGTCCTGCGTCTGCACTCTGACAGAGGTGGTGAGTTCTCCTCAAACCTCTTGGCAGCCTTCTGTGCGGAGCACGGCATCCGCCAGACGTTCACGCTTCCGGCCTCTCCGCAGCAGAATGGGGTTGCTGAGCGCCGCATTGGCTTGGTCATGGAGGTCGCTCGTACCTCCATGATCCATGCGGCTGCCCCCCATTTTCTGTGGCCGTTTGCGGTCCGGTACGCCGCGCATCAGCTCAACCTCTGGCCCCGTGTCTCCTTGCCGGA